AACGGGTGAGAGGGTAAGGGGTGGATCGTTCGCGAAGGGGAATGTGTGATTGGATGGTGTCATGGTTGATGCTTTGATTTAGTGCCCTCTAGCTGACAAGAGGCCAGGTTTAGAAGGGGTCGGCGCCTGCGAATATCAGGGTAGGCCACCCAGCAGTGCACGCGTGCTTTGCAGGCGACATGTTGCCTACCGATCAGGCGCTGTGAGGGCTTCCGTATGCTGAACTGGGCAGTTCCGGAACGGCAAATAACGGACGTTCTTTCTGGATGCTCCCCTATTTTCTGTTGCTTTCTACTTTTTTTTCAACCCCATGAAATTTTACTCAGGAGTTCAACATCAGTACCGAGCAGACACCCGATCGCCTTTGCGGGGATGCGTCTCTCCCGTTCTTTGATCCGCGCCGCGGTCAAATCGCCCGGTTGTCTCCGATTGGGAGGCCACCGCCGAGGAGGAATAAGGACCCGGGATCACCTGGGATGGACCGGACTGGACTGACGGCGCGACGGAGCCGCAAAAGAGCTTTTGATTCTGTCCTCGTCCACGCCGGCAAGAGTCGCGCCCTCGCGCCTGTCAGGAGCGCGTCGTCGCTGAGAGTGGCGGCGGCGCTGCGGCAGGCAGGCAGGCAGATTGCTTCCCTCTAATCCGCGCCGCCGCCGCCACCTCTCGGCACCGACAAGGTGCACCGCAGAAAACGCGACCGGCGCAGATCAGCTGTTCTCTCCCCCGTGTCCGTGACCACGTGGGTACACGTTGTGTGTAAGCGGGCCGGCCCGGGTGTGGCTCCGCTACTCGAGACTCCAGCAGCCGGCGATGGATCTGCAGCAGCTCGCGGATCAGCGGACCGCCGGCGTGGAGGGGCGGAGGAGGACTTTGGATGGCGCACCATTTCCCGTCCGTAAAACGGCGACCCGTCCGCCCGAATCTCGGCGGCGGCGCCTCGCGAGTTACCGGAGTCTTCCCCTTGCTGCGCGGCGCGGCCCGCTGCTGCTCCTTCGTGTCCCTCGAGGCCCTGCCCTGCCCTACCCCACGGCCCGACCCGGCGAGCGGTACAGGATCCCTCCTGGCCCGGCCGAGACCCCGCCGCCCCACCCTGGCCTACCTGCGGGGCTGCAGCCGGGTCGGGGTGATCAGATCAGCCTCTCGCGGCTAAAACGCCTCGGCAAGGCCCGCGGCCGACACAGCTAGGAGAGGAGATCATTATTGACAGATTATTCGGTAAAGTGCTCCGCGGCCTGACCGAGAGGGCCGGAGGGAGAGGGGGGGG